TACTAACAGCCAAGGGATGTAGTCTCCCAAAATGAAATACCTAACGGCTTTGCTGACCTAATTAAATTGACCTGTTCAGATAATGCCTTTTCATAAACTAAAGATTTCTGTATATGTAGGCATTTATCATTCACTGAAGTATTGCTAAAAATATTTTTGTTTATTTTAAAGGTATTGATTACTGAAGAAGAGATAAACTGTTCTAGAAAATCATACCTAGATTTAACATAAAACATTTCAATTGCTATGTCTTAAAAAGTAATGAGTCTTTTGACTTCATGACTATTCTCCCTCATTCCTGCTTTCTTTCCATTTGTGTAAATCTAGAAAGAGAAAAAAAGCAGCAATCAACCAGTGACATTAAAAAATTACAATATGACAGTTTTCCAACAGAAATGCAAATTTCCTTTCTGTGCTGAAACACCAGCAGCAAGTAATTACAGAAACAGTAAATATTGAATTAGTCTATTGCACTATGTTTCCATTTTCCCCTGCTGTCCCACTTTTTTCTGTTCTTCCTACTTTCCATTTATTTCTGTGTTGTTGCTTATTTATATTTATTTTGAGATGACAGTCAAGAACTACACCAATTACTGAATACAGTAGGATATTTGACAGTGGCACTCTGAGTAATTTCACAACTAACCAAAAATGGCAGAATACCTCTCTAGCCTTCTGTCTGTCAGGAACATAAGCAACAAACAACTGCAGGAAAAAATATGGTCACCCACTGAGGAGGAATTATTTTGAAACTTAAGAAAAGTATTAAACTTAACTGTTTATACTTGAATGTCACAATCCTGTTACTTTTATTTTAATCCAAAACACTGCCTGTCTCTATCATGTCTATGACAGTTTTTTCCCAAACCCCCTTGAAGAAAACATTTTAAAATAAAATATTTTAGATTTTAGGGAATCTTCTAGGACGACTATTATTGACTTTAACAGTTTGGAGCTGCAGCACAGAAATTTTACAAGGCAAAGTAAATTTTTCTTACAGCACTTTGGGTGATTTTCCAAGCCAGTAAAAAAATAGGAGATTAACAGCACTGTGTGGTGCCATGTAAAATGCAAGAAAACACTGTGCAATTTTTTCCAGAGAAATATAGTGAAGCCTGTAATTCCCAGATACAACACGCTAAAAGTTACAATATGAGGCTGTCCTAAGTACTCTAGCAACTACAGGCACTACTGCAAGCTATGCAGGGTGGTTTGTGGGCTCAAGTTCACTCAAAACAGATAAAACTTCAAAACATTTATTTATAAGTGAAATAAAGCTTCTCAGACTAGTGTGCTACTATAACAATCATTCACTGACTGATGGCAGAGAGGCCAGACATTAGGAGGGAGGGTTTCCTAGTCTTCTCCTAAGGACTACTAAAGTGAGGGGAGGAAAAAAATTAAAAGCCTTACTTGTAAATGATGTTTTTTAGGAGAATAGACAATGCTTTCGCTTCCAGAAGATCTGCTCGTATAATGGAAAATGAATTACAGTACATGCTCAAGGCATCACCTGGCACTGTCATTTTTGACAGACTCATTTTATCTGAAAGCTGGGAGCCTTGCAATTTTAAAGCCTTTTAAAAAATTATGCTTTTCTTTGTGATATAGAAATAAATTACCTAAGCAAGGGATGAGGCTCAGATGCTGTGGTACCAAGCTGCTGTGCTAGCAGGAGATTGGATAGGTCAACTAACATGTCACATTGACAAATAAATTCTACAAGTAATTTAAGCAGCTTAACAAGTTAAAGGTATGAAAAGCACATAATGCTAAAGCACTACAGTTCTAAACAGCTACATGTTCTTTCAAAAAAATAAAAGAAGCACAAACTTGAGTCCCAGACAACTGGCTATTTTCCAATTATTCTACTAGCTGAGTTACTAATCATGTTTTTCAACCACTAAATTATGCTGTCCTAACGTACTTTCAAGAAAATTGTAGTTTAGTGAGCTGTAACTTTTAGATATGAACATATAACATGATCCAATATAGGAGTGAGGAAATTCTCGTGACTTATGATATTAGGTAACAAGACTGTAAATTCATTAGCTATTCCTCTGGAGCTCTTAAGTTGATCTGGTTTTTCCTGCATATACAGCAGCATGCCCAAGTCCACCTGGCATTTCTTGTATCTTTTCCAATATAAATGATGCTATGATTCTATGTTATGCTGCTTTTAGCAAGCATTAATACTGGCAACAGACTTGAGGAGGCAGAAAAGCTGGGGTTAAAATTAAGCCACTTCATTGGAATTAAAGTCAGGAAGTAAAATATATCTGAATTTGTGAACTTTATAGGTCTGACTTTACTGCTAGGGGGTTTTACATTAGAATTGCCTTTGGCTGGAACCTGAGAACTTATCTGAAACTTACCTCTTCTCCTCCCTCACCCCCCATATTCATTGACAGAGAAAAACTTTCTATCCATATTAGCACCTATGTGCACCCTTCACTTCATCAACAATCTCACATTTCTCTCCTGGAAAAGAGACACTGAGAAGTGTTATCAACAGTTTCGTCTCAGCACCTATATTCAGAAACAGGTTTGTAAAAAGTTTGAACAGTTGGTTACAACAGAAGTGGGGAAAAAAGCCTCTCAAATGTCTCTCCTCTAACATCCAAAAACTAATTGAATTAGGGCCTTTCTCTCTCCTAAATTTACAGGCTGTGAGAAAATGATCATGAGCCCAGGTAGAAAAATATAACAGAAGAATAAATCACAGTGGTACCTCAAGTTGGGAATGGGCTGAAACAACTATGCCAAAGGAAGCAGCTCTAATCTGAATCCTAGGGAAGTCTATGAAGATTTCCAGGAAGCATGTCGGTTACAGCAATTATATATTTGCAATGGGAACTAATACTAGGACACTTCAGTATATCAGAAACTAGACAAAATTTATTTAATGTGAATCATTGAGCAGACGGTAGACTGCAAAACTGATTAAGAAAAAGTGACCAACATGGAGACAAAAATCCATATTTTACTGCCAAATCTCTTCATTATCCATTTTCCTGTTGAATGTCTTTTCAGACTTTGTAGATGAAGGAACTAAGTGAAATAAAGGTCAATTTTCAATAGACCAAATATAAAGGAACTTTATTTTTCATGAATGCAATAACCACCTGAAAAATGTTCTGCTATCTCTAATTACTTTGTCATTAACATGTTGCCTTGTCATATGTTTATGAAGTCCTACAAGTCAACAGGACATCAGCACCTTTTTTTCAGCTTATGCTGCTGTCAGTAGAATAGACATCAACCCTATCTGTACATATTGCCATGAATATGAGAAGCAACAGTAATAAAAGAAAAAAGTGCCAATTATGGTACAGAGCAAGTGTAGGTAAGCAAGTGTGTGTTGAGAAAACAAAGGTATTTTATTGCCTATCATAGTGCAGCATTCAGTGTTCAAGGGTGTACACAGCTCTTCTCTCCTTGCTAATGAGACACATTCTTCCACAAACACATCTCAGATGCTCAAGGCACAATCTACCTCATACATATCTTGAATTTATATCCCTGGAGAAAAGAAAACAGTTCAATTCTACTATAAGGATTCACATACATTTTTCATCACTTCCTTCCAAATAATAATGGCACTAGTGTTTAATCCTATACCTGCACTTTCATAATGAGGGGACAAAATAAAAGTATTAAAAAATTAGTGGCTCACCGTGTTTGTACAGTTCTGGGATTTGGGGATTTCATTATTTTGAAGAAAACTGTGAGACCTTGTTTCCCAGAACCACTGCAAGACTTTCCCTATTTCGGGACCTCATATTTCACACACTCAGCAGTTCAGAAAATTAACCAGAAGAGTACTGGGGTGGGGGGTGGGGGAGTGTGGAAGGGAAAAAAAAGAATGGATTTTAATTGAGAAAACTCTTTTCTTCCCGTTCTGATTCTGGCCAGGGCAGGATTAATTTTCGCAGTAGCCAGCAGGGGCATGGCTAGAACCCAGAGGTTGTTCTATACCACCTCATTATTTTCTGGGGATAGGGAAGGGGTCCTTTCCAGGTCATGGAAATCGGCAGTGTGGTCGGATATGGTCAGGAGTTTCTGTCTGGTGAGCATTCGCATGTGAATTGTTCACCTCTCTTGTACAATTTGTTATTAATATTGTTGCTGGTACTGTTAATTTTCATTGCTGTTTCCATTAAATTGTTCTTATCTCTTATCTTTACCTTTTGTGTCTCCAATTCTCTTATCCATCCCACTGCAGCGGAGAGGGGGAGGGAGAGGACAGAGTGAGCAACTGGCTCGTGGTTTTGAGTGTTTCAGAGGGAATACTAAATTGGGAAATACCATTCCTAAACCATGACTTTCCCACAGCAGTTCCAATAAATTAGAACTTTTGTGTCAAAGATCTGCTAAGAAGAAACCAATATCTGACTTTCTCCTATTATTTTTAGATGCAAGATATAAAGATATCTGCCAGCAAAGCAAGGTAAATTAGGAAATTTTCCTGTATAACTTACTCGTAGTTCTATTCCAGAGGAAGGTAATCAGTGAGTGCATGTATTTGTCAATATTCCAGCAATTTTAACTGTAACTGGAAATTGTAACAAAAAAATGCCTTTTCAGGAGCTGGAACTGACAGGCAGTGGGGATATAAAACCACCGTCTTGACTTCCATTACAAGTTAAACAATTCCCATCCAGGTAGCTTTTAATCAAACTCTGTATTTGACATTACATGATAACACTGATCACTTTTTAATTCTTTATAAGTGTGTTGTCACCTGTTACTCATATAGAAAACTTCTGTTCTAATTTCTCCCCCTTTTCCAAAATCAGATACTTTTAGCAGTAATGGATCTGCTGAAATTAATTATGAGATGTTGTTTTCCATTGGATATCTACCCTGTGTAAATGGACGTTTTTTGCTTGAAGACTAGGCAGCTCATAATCAAGGTCATAGAAAAAGCCTTCTTGTCCCTTTACCTAACCTACTCTAAGGGCCTAGGACCAGTTCCCAGGAGTTGCTGATAAACTCACCGTCAGAGCCAGCAGTTTTCCATAGGTGAGATGGGCTGGGATGTGGTCGCTCTTGGATCGCAGTGACTCCACATACCAGTGCTCTGCTTCTGGCAGCCGGCTCATTCTCATATAGGCTTCTCCTACAGGGGGAAACAAATGCTGGTGAGAATACCCAAAATTTCTCAAGGCTTCCATAATTTGTTACCTCATTTATAATCTTCTGTGTTTTAAATGTGTAAATCTTGAAAAAGATGAAGTGATTTGAAAACTTGCAATGACACACATACATGCAAAAGAAAGCTTTAGAGATGCTTGAATGAGGAGACTGAGTTAAGACCTTATTAGGGCTGAAAGAGCATGGTTGAGATGAAACTCTCGCTGGAACAGACTTGCCAGAGAGAGCTCCAGATCCTAAGTTTCAGTCAAAAGTCTCAAAATAACAGCAATTTTATCACATCTACTGCAGAAAAGCTATTTCTTTTCTGTCAGTCTACATTGCAAAGCATGGAATAGCAGGAAGAAGACAGAAAATATTTTTATTTAATCACAATAAATCAAGAACCTATTTTGTTTTAAAAACTAGGGAAGCTTAAGAAAACAGTCTCGAAACTATATTGGTGGGAGGGGCAAGACATTAAAAAACATAATCTCTGAATGTAGTTATATTAGGTCATATGCCACATTCTTTTTTTTTTTTATTATTTTAAAATTGCTAGTCTTAGGAAATCACATACCAAATGACTGAAACTGGACATTTTTCAAAGCGAAATACTTTACTGTGAGAGGCTGAGGCAGGCAAGTTTGAAGAACAACAGGTGAATGGGATGTGAGAAAACCATATACTGTTATACAGACAATTGTAGTCAAAATTTCTGAGGAAGAGTTTAGCATACATAGAAAGACAATCTCTTTCTTCAAGAAGCAAACAACTAAATCTATCAAAGGTTGGAGTCAGCAATATCAAACGTATGCAATGGTGAAGAACAGCAGCTTTCAGATTAATACTCTGCATTTACACAGCTCTTTCACATGGGCTCTAGATATAAATGTGCCCTTCCCTAGGTCAATGACAGACTGAAAATGCCTACTGGAGATTCAGGATTTCATAATCTCCCCAGCTGATCCATTTCAAACAAATGGCTAAGTATCTTCCCAAAATTATGAAGTCACAGTTTATCAAGTGCTACTACTGGAGGATCAAGAGAGGACTACAACTGACCCATGTAAAGGTCAGCTAAGTCTGCCTCCAGGTGAATGACTGCCCCCAGCTATGCATTACATGTAAATTAATAACTGTGGAGGCATCAGGGAGAGAGAGGGACCAATGTTCTTTATTCAAGCTTGAAGCCAAAAACCACACCCCCAAAACTCAGAGAAAAAGATGCTCAAAGAAGTAGAATAAGGAACTCATACCTATCAAGTATTTACAGAGGCTGTGAAGGATTTTCTTGATGAGAGAAAACTGGACAAGGCCCAGTGAAGTTCAGTTTTTTGGGTTTTTTTTTCGGCTATTTTTGTCACCAGAGGATCTGGATCCCAGGCAAAATGTAGAACATAAGTTTTGAGTTTCAGAAGTTAGGGTGCAATGCATGCAAGATGACCAAGCCGCAACCCAAAGACAAAATGAGCATGATGTAGAGTCAGAAGTCACGTTGAGCCAAGGCTAAGGGAAGGCAACATGATTTTTATGAACAAATACAGTTTTTTTCCAAAAAGCGGTGCAAGCCTGTAAATACAACAGACCAGGATTTCTAACTCAAGGATCTACAGAGCATTCTGTATTCATGCACTGGTCTTGGATATCTGATTACATACACAGAAGCAGATGATGTTTCAGTCCCAGTGCTCTAGTAATTCTGCTGCCGTTTAGGGCCAAACTAAAAGAACAATTCACAAAAAAACCCAACCAACCAATCAACCAACCAACCAAAAAAAAAAAAACAAAAACAAAACCCAAATTAAAATTAAAAAAAATCCAAACATGTAAGAAACCCCAAAAGAAAATGAACACCCCCAAAACCCAAGATCACATTCAGTGATAGTAACGTCACATGCAGTTTTTTCACAATGTCAGCACTCAAAAATAAGTGACATAACATACCCTACATGCACAAAACAAAGTCATGAAGTGTTGGAAGGATGGAAGAAGTCAGAAGTCAAGCTATACACTCCCCTCAACTCCTCTCACTAGCTGCACGCTTTAGGGCAGAATGTTTAATTACCTGATTACATACTATTTTTCCCACAGGCCTCTGCTTCATTTAGCATACCGGAAATGAGGAATCCATATTGTCCTTTTCTTTAAGTGGAAAATTCCAGCCCAACCTGTTACAGCTTGGCAAAGTTTCAAGCAATTAACAAGATGCTCTAAAAAGTAATGTAAGCAGCCAAAAGAGATGGAGCTATTATCTTCTGGTAGTAAAGGCTGAATGTACTGCCAAATTTCAAATAGATCCAAGGTTCTCATCTATTTTCCATGATGGATTCTGATATAAGAAGAGATTAAAATCTTTGGAGTACTGGCAAATTCAATTTTTAATAGGCTTTAACAGCTCAACTACTTTACAGGCTAGCTACTTTACAGGATATTTCTGAGTGATGCATCTAGAAAAAAGCTAAAATATGTCAATCTAAATGTCAAACTGTAGAGAAAGAAACTGTATTCCCCTGAAGTCTTTGCAGTGAATTCTCTATCGCTGAACATTTTTTTCTGAGGAGCCTATTTTCTGCCTATAAGCCCAGCATAATCAAGAATTGCTTTATTATAAGTAATTAGAACATATTATTACTACAGAAGGAAGTACTGTTAGGGGGTTTGCTATTAATTGCATCTAATAAATGATTCGCAGTGATACCTTTATCTAAAAAGAAATCAAAGTTGAAAAATGAAAATGACTCCTATCGCTGCCATACTCAAAGACCAGAATAAAACCAAGCAATGGCTAACTGAACTGTTAAATCAATCAAGTGATTTTATGCATTAGACTGATGCAATTTAATAACAGTTATTCCAGCCTAAGATAATTTTCCAACAATGTCAGAGAAAACATGTATGGATTGATTTCTGCCATTCAGGGTGCATTTGTGCATCTGAGATTAAAATAATAATAATATTCGTCATTTACAATCATGCATTTTTATAGACTTGCAACCCAAGTGAATTTAGCCATTACAAAGATAACAGTGTCCATTGGCAGAAAATATGTAAACCAACAGCACACATATAAGCAGGTTTCTATATTTAATTTAACAATTATTTATTTTTCAAAATCTTTCAAAATTCACGCTAAAGATCTGAAAGATCACACACAGACACTTTATTAATGACGTCAGATCTATAAAGTTCAACGGAGGCAACAACAACAGAGAAAGAAATTCATGGCAGTGGAAACCTTAAGACATAAATTGTCAGTTATTTCCATTCCCTAATCTGTATCAACATGCAGACACGCGCAGCGTTGCCTGCACAATGAGTGGTGGTAACAGATTCAATAGCAGACTCGAGTAAAATGGGACCAATCAGTAATTCAAAACTGCTTCCATTTTTAAGGGGGCTAGTTCAGTTAATATTTTCTGAGTTTTATGAACCATTTCTTGGCTTATTCTACAAGAAAGAGCATAGATTATTAAACTGTAACTTTCATTTACTAATGTAGTGCAAGAAGAACATTAATATGTAACTGAAACACTATTTAAAGAAATGCACATGAAGTTCATCAACACTTCTATTAATACTTTCAAAGAAATGAGAAATGGGATACCATTTAACTAGATTTACACCACTGTAACAAAAATCCTTATACTCAGGTGGATTTTATTTGCCATAGAGACAGATCACTTGCAAGACTACTATTCACCTACAATATTTTCCCATATTTCCTCAGAAGTCTTGGAATTTAAAAATAATCCTTAAAAATCAACAGAACAAAATAAAACCCCACCAAAATAACAAAACAGCCCAAACCTCCTCACTAAAATGATGCCAGGACATTAATTATAAATAACAATATTTAATTAACATATCATTAAAATAATTAACATATAAGTAACAATAATTAAAACCCAATAACAATCATAATAAACATTATTTATATTAAATAATTAGGCTAATAAAATATTAGCTTGCTAGCAGCTATTTCCCCTGAAAGGCTAACTTCTAATTGGATAATTAGGTAGAATGTGATTTTAAGGAAAATAAAAGGACACGATTTTCTAATACATATCATACATTGGTAAAAGGTAAAATCAGGTAGCATTTACATCAATGTATATTACATGGTTCTAGATTAACCTCTCACCTACTGATTTCATATTTGTTCTGTTTCAGATGTAATCACACCAAGCAAAGGCCATGTCCTGGCAGGGAGTATGCTAGACTTTCTGATGAGCAAGTGCAGTGGAACTATGGATGTAATAGCACTGTGCCTCCACAGATGTATTGTACCCATATTTTCAGGTTAAGAAGATATGTCTGTGCTGGTTTAAAAGTTAACCAGCAGGGGAAATGAACTCAACTCAAAAGAGAAATTATAAGTCAGAATAACAATTTATTAAAATAATACAATAAGTACAATTATACAGACAGACAATTGGTTTTAACCCACAAAACCCAAATGTATAACCCAGCACCCTGGGGCATGAACAAAAGTGGTGTTCCTTGCCCCCCCCCCCGAGTCCAAAGTAAAGGGAGAGGGGAAAAAAAAACCTGCTGGTGGGAGAGCTGTTGCAGTCTGGTCAAAAGTGGTGATTGCAGTCCAGTTGAGGGTGGTGGTCTCAGTCTAGTT